CATTTTATATGCTTGATAATTCAATGGGATTTTTTTCCTCACCCCAGCCTGAGCACAAAAACATGAATGATACATTCTACTATGATGTTAAGAAGGCTGCAACATCACTGAGTGGCAGGTATTACTCATTTTCATTATAATTCTGAGGGATTATCATCATGCATAACTGGCCAGATATGACTGTACTTAAGACATGAATGTCATGGCCGTATATAGAGAGCAGAAGGGTTAATATATCTTTTATCTCAGTTATCCTTTCCTTATGTCCATGACAAGAGCAGCTAAAACTACTCCTTTCACAAATATATACAGTATATTACACTAGAAATACTCATAGTCTTTATATTGTTCATTGGTCTCTATAAATCTTATGTATCTGGCTCCATATATGTGGTTCTTCTTGTATATCTGCTGTTTTGTATGATTAAGCTTTGCCGCTGTAAGTATTAGACTAGTGTAAAACAGACTAAGTTGTATCACCGTGCTTGAGTTCTATATGTGATTTATCCAGTAGTATAAATATAAACTTGCCAACTTCAGATCTCAAGATATTTCATCATATTTTAAATAGCCTATCGGCTACATTTTCTGTTTCCATTTTCCCTGCAGTTAATACTGCTCTTGAACAATTAAAATATTAATCTATATAACTATGACTACACTTTCATATTTATATGGAAATAGTATGTATACTATTTAATTATATATACTAAAAAGTGACTAAAAGTCATAGGCATATAAGTGAGAATGTTAGTTTAGATGGGTAAGGTATTTCTATAGTATAACATGTAAAGAATGCATTACTAGTAGTCCTATTTTATTTTAAATTGTAGAACTCCTTGCTTTGCTTTTCAGGGTTCTACACATCATGTTATATTGTTGGATAAAATATCTCAGAACTCTACACTTGTTACTCTCATGACCAGGCACAAGTTATTTGACTGGATTTCAGGTTTCTTGTCTACAAATGCAGACACATACTTAGATTGTAGTTTATGGTAAACATAAGCAGGAAATACATGTTACCCATACCTGCCTGCTGGCATGTATTATGAATGTTCTCTGAATTCATCTGGCCCCTGTACGGTCATACAGGTCTGAACATAAAATACAAACTGCATAAACTTGTTTGGATATTTATGGCTTAACTTTTCTCACAAGACTACATTGTTTTACCCATACATTTGAAACCTTTTGTGAATTCCTATTTCAGAAAAGTTGTTAATATTTTTGAATTTCTCATAACCACATTTTAAGTAAACATAGTAGAAAAAAATCATTTTTCAAAAACATAGAAAATCTTTATGATATTGTTTACTTAAAAATATGGAAACAGGGCTGGGAAGTTGGCTCAGTGGTAGAGCGCTTGCCTTGTATGCCTGAGGCCCTGGGTTCAATTCCTCAGCACCACATAAGCAAAAAAAAAAAGAAAAAAAAAGCCAGAAGTGGTGCTGTGGCTCAAGTGGTAGAGCACTAGCCTTGAGCTGAAGAGCTGAGGGACAGTGCTCAGGCCCAGAGTTCAGGCCCCACAACTGGACCAAAAAAAAAAAAAATTTAAAAAAAATATGGAAACAGTCAGACACCAGTGATTCACGCCTGTGATCCTGGCTACTCAATAGAACAAATATAGCAGTGGTACTCACTAGATACCAGGTGAAAAATGATCTCTACAGCTTATGGGTAGGGATGGGAGGGAAAAAGTGGGAGAGAGTGAAGGAAGAGGTGCCATGGTTCAAAAAGAAATGTACTCATTACCTGACTTACGCAACTATGCCCACTCTGTACATCACCTCTGTAATAAAAATAAAATATTTTTAAGCCCAAACACTGAAATCTGTGGATCAATTCAAAGCCAGCCCAGGCAGAAAATTCTTATCTTCCTGAGAGAAGTGGAAGGGTGGCTCTAGTGGTAGAGCACTAGCGTTCATCAAACAAGCTCAGGTATCGAACTCAGGCCCTGAGGCTGAACCCCAGGATGGTGACATAAAGAATACAGAAATAATAGTTGTCATGGACCTACCTTTTAGAATTGGGAAAGATATGAAATGCTAATACATCTTTGTTAGATCCTGCAAAAGCCAGATCTCTCTTGGAAGTACCTGCACTAAATCTGTGGAAGCAGGCCTAGCTAAGCACAAGACAGTCCACTACTGATTTAGATCATCAGCAACATGAAAAGTGGCCTTTAAACTTTGTTTAATTGGATTGGAGATGTGGCTCCATGTAGAGGACCCAAAGCCCAAAGCCCTGAGTTCAAATCCCCATACCAACACACAAATTGTTTATTTGAAAACATACATTCTAACCTTTAGAACAATGTTAATATTAGGAACATTGTTCATACATGCATGGATAGCCATAGAATAATAACAGAGGAAAATTCAAGGGCAAGATGTGATTATATCACTGTGGCTCTAAATACTTGGCCCTAAATATAGCATTTTCCAGGGTTCAGATAGACCTTAGACTAATATCCACATATATCATCTATAGAATCACAGCAACCAAGTATTGACCCCTCTTACCCTTCACCTTCTCAGAGGGTAAGCTAACTTGCCATGACTTTGTCTCATTGCAAATGTTTTTTCTCTGCTCTTTGATTATAAGCAAGCTTCTTTGGTACAAAAGAAAGCAACCAAGAACACTTGTCCAGTGTTATATTGAAACTTATAGTTATTGGATCATCATGAATAGTCTCTGTAAATCATAGTGGAGAAGATCAAATTAGGATACACAACACCAACAATCTAATGTCCTAATGCCATATATATTATATATTGTATATGTTTATATACAATATGTATTATATATATAAAATATATAGAACACACACATATGTATATATATATATATATATATATATATATATATGTTGTTCTTGTTGTTGAGGGGTGCTCCTGTGAAACAAATTTCTGTTCTCAAAGTTTTAGGTCCTTGCAATATATCTAGATGGCCAAAAATTAGTTATTCTACTAACAAATCCCTAAACCCTGCAAAACAAGAAACAGACCCCCCCAAAATATCGCAAAAACACACAAAACACATACACACAAAATATTAGGGCAACAAACAAAGGGAAAACAAAGTTACAGGGGCATTCATGCAGTATCTTCCACTTCATGATTGTTGGTGCCAGTTTGCATGGATGGGTCTTTTGCCTTTTCTTTAAATCTGTTTTTCTCCTCAGATTTGTAGTTCATGATTTTCTTCCGCATTCTATCTGACTTGTTATTTCTTTAAAATATTTATATCTTTATTTATATATTTCCCTTTATTCTGACTCCTTCATACTTCTCTTCCTAAGCCCACATCTAATTTTGATTCTTTCCCTGTTTAAACATTTTATTTTTAATCATTTTTAAATTATGATTATTTTCTTTAAGTAATTGTACAAAGGAGTTGCCATTTAACTAAACAGGGTATGAGTACAAGATGTCTTGATCAATGTCATTCCTTCCAACGTTCCCACCCATCCCTCCACTACACACCCCTTTCCTAACTCTTAATTTTGTAGCATTGGATTCTTGTGTTAATCCCCCTCCAGATCACTTCTCCATCCATCTACCTCTTTCCCATTGATCCTACCCCACCGTTGTCAAGCTTAAGTTTTCTGGTTTTATGTTGTTGAACTTTGATGTGGGCTTTTTAAGGAAATAAAAAATTCCTCACCCAAATACAGCTACAAAGCTTTTCCTTTCATATTTTCTTCTAGAAGACATTTTTGTCTTACATAAACTTGCATTTAGCTTCTGATCATGTCCAGTTCATATTTCTTTTTATTCTTCTTTGCATTGTAATTCTTTTTGGACAAAAGGAAAGAGTAGAGATCATTCAAATGAATGACTCTTGCCATTTTCTTTGCTGTTTTTAAAAAATCTTTTTTGTCCACTAAAGCCCCTGTTTCCCCCTTCTTATTCTGTTCCATTTCCTTATCTCTTGTGGACCATTCCAAAGTTATGAGCTTATTGACATCTTCCAAGAACATTGTTCTTAACTTTGAATCCACTCTCTAGCACTATACTATTCAATTGTTTTCACACTATCTGTTCAGGGCAATTTTTGTTATTTTCTTTGTATTTTGATATCCTGAACCATGCATTCCCCAGAAGTTAACTATTATGTTAATTTTAAAAAAAAGCTCTCTGTGTTTTAGGAATGGCCTTTGCCCTATGCTATCTATCACTTATTTAGCTTCACACATCTCTGCACAGCTATTTTCTTATTGCTATATTTGGTCTCAAGTTCCTCAAGAATAAGGCATTTATAATTTTATTCTTTAAATAATAAATTTGCCAGACATTGTTTTCTTGGACATCTCACACTCTTTTTTTTTTTTTATTTTTAGCTGTTTCCTTTAATTCAAGGAATCACCAAACTTAGTTTGATCACCCTCAGTGGATTTCACAGCAAATGCCATTTTTTAAGTTCCTGTCACCTTCCAAAGACAAAACAAAAGAACACAACAAACATTACCACCATTCAATCCAGGCACAGACCACTCAGACAGAGGCTAGGAAGAGGAGACAGGAAGCTCCCAATCAGAGAAACAAGTACAGCAATCAGCACTGAGACTCCTGAGGGTGGCTCTGTGCTTGTGTCTGTTTTAATTCAATATTCAGTACCCTTTTATTTTTACATGAATATTTTTGAGAACACGTTTTGAGGAGCACATTTTTTCCCCTCACATCATGACAACTTAATAAATATCATTCCTTTCATAAAATCCTATAAATTAATTGTTAATATTACCTAGCATTTGCTTAAAAGAGAAAAAAAATCATTCTTTTCAAGTTCAGTGTTTCATGACTAGCTGCCTCTGAATTATCCTGATTCATCAGCATCCCTTAAACAGTTTTTTCACTTGGAAACATCCTGCCAGTCAGTTCTCTGTTTAACTACCTTAGCTAGATCCTACCAGCATTAGCATTTCCAATGCTTTCCTTTATGGAATCTCCTCTATAGCGCTCCCTCCCTCCCCAGAATTTGGTGTTAAAACTTACCGCTTTTACCAACTCCTCCAGCTCCCAGCATTACCACCTTGTACTCTCTGGACCCGCTTGATGCACTAGCCGGGGAGCAGCTGGCTTCATTTTCTACCTCCATCTTACCCTAAGGACTGGAGGAGAAAAAGGAAGCAAAAAGTCACCGTGTCAGGTGCTTGCTCAGATACTAAACAACTCTAAAACTGTGTCAAAGGAAAGGTTTAGTACGAAGTAAAGACCATCAGCGTCGGACTGGCTGCTGGTCCTGTGCTGGAGCGGGTCTCATAGCAACCACTTCAATTGCTTCCAATAAAAATCTGGCTTTTACATCCCTCCCTCCTTCTGATCCTTCACTCTTTCACGTCTCCCACGATCTCCCTCTCTTGCTCTCCTTCTCTGCTTCTTTGCCCTCCCTCTTCTGTTACTTGTTTTTTCCCTTTCACATACACAAACACCCATGCACAATCTCTCTCTCTCTCCCTCTCTCTCTTTCTCCTCTTTCCTGCCCACCCCTGCACAGTTGCAGTTGTCAGGTGCACACACATACTAGGCTATCTTTCAGACTGTGCTGCTGGAGTACAGTGAAGCAGAGACTTGGAGGAAGATGCCGTGTCATAGGCTGACTTCTGCAGATGCACTTTCAAAGACACTCTTTTCTCTTAATCACGGTCAATTAATTGAGAGACATTCCAGCTGCTTGCTTTTTATCTACATCTTCCTGCACAGTGTTCAATCTGGAAGAAAGGAAACTACCATTTTATAAAGGAAAGACAAAACAAACAAACCAGCAACTTAGAGCATTTAAAGTATGAGTCTTCAGTGTGGTTGAATTAATGCCAGACTAGCAGTAATTGCTTCAGCTCAGTTGACAGTCGTAGTTCTACCATTGGGAGGTAATTGAATTAGGTCATTATCATGCTTGAACATGGATCACCCTTGTTTACACTGAATTATTAGAAACAAACTTGAACACACGGACTGTGACAAGCATGAAAGGGATACATGATGAATGTTTTTGTTGACAATTACGGTAGGATAAAAGATCATAGCAGCCTATTTTTCAAATGTCCAACTTCCTTCTCCTTATTTAAATTCTTATACAGCTTGGGGTCTTCTCATTTATCCAGACATATTGTAAAAAATTGTTCTTAGGATGGTTTTCACAATCCCTAGTTGTTAAAAACAGACCCTTTCCTTCAGTAAGAGAGTGATAGTCTGTGTGTTTATTGTCAGTAAAATATGTTTATTTAAAATGTGCATAGTGATTAGATGGAGTCAAGTGTTTTGCCTGTGTTTGCTTTTCCTAATATCTAATTTTTAAGCTACTCTAGAAGTGAAAAATATTTTAAGCATTTCTGTATGCATCTGTAATAAGCTCTTTTGATTAATCTGCTGGGCACTGCATTTTCTTGCTGGCCTTTGGAGAGGTAGCAAATTCTTACCATTAAGAAAGCAGATCTAGACCCAGATTTCATAGGCTCAAATCTGAGCTGTGTGACCTTGGGTAAATTACCTTTTTTCACTGTGCATCAATGTATATATCTATAAAATGGCCTATGCACTCTTAATTAATTAACTCACTAGTGAATTAATATTCATACTTTTTAAACACCATCTAGCCAGTCACCAGGGGTCCAAACTTGTAATCTTTGGTACTTGGGAATCTGAGAGAAGGATCATCACAGTTCAATGCCATCCTTGGCTGAAAGTTTCTGAAACCCTATCTCAAAGTAACTAGAAGAAAACAGGGCTGGAGGTATGGTTGAAATTGTAGAGCACCAGTCTGGCAAGTACAAGGCCCTGAATTCATATCTACTATTGCCAAAACAGTGAAGAAATTCATAAGAAAAATATTGAGCAAGTTGTTAGGATGGCTTAAGTATATGACATTATATATATTTTATTGCTATCTTTGAAAGAATGATGCTCTCAGCCACCTAATACACCAAAGAAAGGATCATATTATTGTGTTTATCACCCATCAGCATTTCTTCCTTGCTAAAACATTTTTTCAAACCATTTCTTTTCCACCAAAATTTTCTTTTATTACTGAGCTTTTGAAACATGTTTATATATTCTAGTAATGTCTTTTGGCATATAAATATTCTGAAAATATGTTTCCCTAGTTTGTGGTTTTTAACTAGATGATTTCAGTTTACAATAAAGGCTTACAGTTTTGTGGGGCCCAGTTTTTAATTGTTTTCACTTATGAATATGACATGAGGCCTGCAACAAAACATTTTCTACTGATTCTTTTCCAAGTTCCAAGTTTTGTCCTACCCTTTCATTGTAAATTCACTTATGTTTGTCCATCTATTTAGGACCTTTCTGGAGGTAATTGTCCTGTCTGTAGCTATAAGCTTGATTCTCCCCAGAGCTAGAAAAATGAATATAAGTGCATTCTGGATACTTCCATCAAAACCCTGCTTGTGTCTTATCCTCAACATTTCTTGAAAGACATCAGTCCAATTCTTGGTAAATGAAGTCAGCTCTGCTCTGTCTTTATAGGAGCGCTGTCACTCATCAAGTCCCAGTTTTAGTGCAACCTCTTCTTATATTTGACCTCTATAACTTAAACTTCCTTGAGTTAGAGCTCCCTACCCTTTCCCACAAGATGGCTTAATGAATTCTATATACTGATTTTAGGGAAATCCACCTATAAACTGGAGATATACACATATTCATATTTCAAAAGCCTAGATAATACAAGGTTTTAGATTGTCACATGAACACAACCCCTGCATTCCATTGTTGTCCTTTACATAGTCTTCACACTTCACAGATAGAAAATGTGAGCTACATGTAGTCATTTACCAAACAGAATTATTATCCCTAGGACTGGCTCAAATAAAGAAATGTGGCTGTAATTTAATTATCCTCTGCATATTAAATTGAAATTTTATTATTCAAAGAAATGAGATGTGTAAGCAGTAGCATTTAGCTTCAAAGTCTTCCTGGGTTTTGTTTTTAGTTCTGCTACTATAAATCTTATGACCTTGAGAGAAATCACATCTCTTCTACTATGGATTTCACCATCTGTAACTCTGTTTTCCATATCAGGCTTGTTGACTTGGTTGTGAAGCACAGAGGGTGTATCAGCTGTGTCCTTGGTCTTGCTCTTTATTCAACACACTTATTCTGATGTTGATTCACAGACAGGAATCCATACAAATGTCTTTCAGAGTACAAATAAGTGGCTAAGACAAGGAAATTCAGTTAGTTAATTGGCTTTCTTCTCTATTAGTAATATATCAGTCTATATTACTCATTTATAAATCAGAAGGATTTTTATTATTAGCTGGAAGGAAAGAAAAAAGAAAAAAAAACATGAGATGCAGGAAAGTCCTTCATTTTAACTCTTTTTATTACCCTTACATTTTGAAATTTTGAGAAAGCCCCTTCACCCTAGCTCTTTCCTATGAATTACTAAGCATAATGTATCTTATATGTGGTAATGACTGAACATTGAAGTACTAATGTTATTGGAGTTCAGCTTATTTAGTGACATTACTCAGTTTGCGTATCTTATTATTTATTGGGTGTACCCTAAATCCTCTGAGATTGTGTGTGTGTGTGTGTGTGTGTGTGTGTGTGTGTGTGAAGTATGTCCCAGATTAAGAAAATTCTAAAAAAAAAATCACTTAAACAACCAAAATGATATCTTTTTTGTACCTGGGAAAATTGTTAAATGATCAGTTTGCATTTTCTTATTCTAATGTGCCCTGTAACTGTTAATCTTGGTTCTGAAAACTATATCATTCCTTTTGAGTAGATATGTCCATTATATGATGACCAAGGTCATCTTTGTTTATATTCATACAGAGACACTGACTACTTGAACAAGGACAGAGTACATTCCATCTCTTCTATGTACACTGTACTTAACTCTCCAGGGTAGAAAAAAGAAAAGATATTAATGTAACAAGCAATTTCCTGAAAGCTAATAGATTAACACTATTTATGTAGATATCCTTTTTTTTTTGTTGGTCCTGGGCCTGAGCTCTGTCCCTCAAATCTTCAGCTCAAGGCTAGCACTTTACCACTTGAGCCACAGTGCCACTTGTGGATTTTTCTACTTATGTGATGCTGAGGAATTGCAAGCAGAGCGTCATGCATGCAGGAAAAGCACTCTACCACTGAGCCACCTTCCCAGCCCTGTAGATATACTTCTAAACTCCATCAGGAGCTGTTAAGGTGTTTGTATTTGTGTGTGTGTGTGTGTGTGTGCGCGCGCACGCGCGTGCACGGGCGCTAGTCATTGACAGAATTTTCACAACTTTGTCTACAAAGCCACTCTTGTCTTTTTTAGTGCATCTTTTGCATATATTATAAGGATGATTCTTTGTATTTCATTTTACTTCATTAAATATCATGTATTCAGCTTGGTCTATCCAGACAATAAAACTATCAAGGAACAAAATTTCAACAAATGAAACTTTAAGGACCAATTTATTTGATTTGGGGAGCAAAAGCCAGTCTATAAAATAGATAGTGGTTCCATTGTGGGTAATAGTGCAGTTGGGTTTGCAAAGGTAGCCTGGCAGGAACATGAACTGGAATAATGCAAAACTCAGATTGGTTGGCATCAGTTTTCTTCAGGTTATGATTCTTATTTGGTTTAGAGCCCAGGAAAATTCCTGTTTACATTGACTCACATTGACTGGATCCCTTTGGAATGATTGCTGGGAATCTCTTTGGGTGTTTTTGTTGTTGTTGTAGGTTTGTGTGTGTGTGTGTGTGTGTGTGCATTTTGTAATAAGCTCACTTGTTTCTTTGAAAATTTTCTCTTAATTTCTCTGAAGATCTGCTGTTACAAGAAAATAACTTTGATTTCAGTTGGCGACACAAAACTTAGTATGACTTCATTTATGATGGATCTTCTTTGCCCTAGTGTAAGACCTCTGTCCAAGTCAGTGATCTCTCATAAATTTTAATCAACAGAACAGTGCCTGCCATGAGCTAGGTGACTAAAACTTTTCTGTTAGATGAAAGCATTAATTGTACCAAGTAGGTGATTATATATCACCACTATTAATCAAATAAACCTTTTAAAGTGCATAATTTACTATTTATACCTTAATGAAAAAAATAAATCACTGTGGCAAAAGATAATTAGCAAATTAAGTGATAATCTCTACATAAATGAATGTTTGTCATTTACATCCTCACCATAAAATATAAGAATACTCTAAGGCAGAAGAACACACACTGCTTGAGCCAAAAATCAAAATAGCAACAATAAAGCTGAAGAATGAAGAGTAAAATGCTAATTCAGCAAACAAGAGACAGAATT